CGCCACTCCGGAGACTGCAGCGCCGAGCGTACCACTCTCGGAGCCGTTGGGGAGAGGGCGGCTCCCGCCTAGGCGGGGAACCACGAGCACCAGCTCCAGCAGCACCCCTAGCCCCAGAAGCGCCCCTCCTGAGGCTGCAGTACCGCGAGTACCACTCATGCAGCTGTTGTGAAGAGGGAGCGCCTCCAGGCGCCGCACGGTCAGTCGCAGCACCCCCAGGCTCAGTACCCTCAGACGTAGCACTCTCAGGCTCAGCACCCCCAGACTCAGCACCCTCAGGCTCAGCACCCCCAGGCTCCGCACCCCCAGGCTCCGTACCCGCAGGCTCAGCACCCCCAGGCTCCGCACGCTCAGGCTCAGCACCCCCAGGCTCCGCACCCCCAGGCTCCGCACGCTCAGGCTCAGCACCCCTAGCAGGACGAGAGTCGACAGCTACCTCGACGGCTCAACCGGGTCTACCTGGGACACACCTGAGGGAGCGGCACCCTCAGGGGGGAGGGGGTCTACCACAGCAGCACCTGGTGCGAGGAAGAGAGGCTGGGGGGGGAGCGGGGCAGTGCGGTAGGGGAAGAGGCGGTAGTAGGGGACCGACTCGTCGAAAGTGACGTCCTGAGAGGCGGACACGGCGCGAGGTGGCGTGGTAAAACTGCCAACCAGACGCGTCCGGGACAAAGCCAAGGAAGACACAAGGAACAGCGCGGGAGGAGAGCTTGTCTGCGGACGTATCACGGACAAAAGCACGAGATCCCCAGACCCGGAACACCGACGCATCGACACCTCTCCCGTCCAACGCGTGTCGGCGAAGTCTCCGGAACGGAGACACGGGGCCAGAGGTTGAGCTGATGCGCAGCGTATCGGACCGCAAACGGCCACAGAAAGTGGGGGGCAGCCGCATGGATCAAGGAGGTACGAGCGACCTCCATGACCAAGCCAATGCGGCGCTCAGCAACCCCATTCTGCTGTGGAGAGGCCGGAAGCGTGAACGTCTGCTCAATGCCCTCCCCACGACAAAAGTCCCTCAAGAGGTCGGAGGAAAACTCCCCACCTCTGTCAGAGTGCAGACGCAGGACAGGAAAGTCCGAGTGGAACCTCTCGCTGAGCTGGAGACGGGCAGCGCGGATCCAAGGGATCAAAACATCAGGGACTTCACCCTTGGTGCGCAAGGGGAAGACCGTGGTGTAGCGCGAGTAGTCGTCAACAACTATCAAGAAGTACCTCTCGTGACCCTGTCCACGGACGCGGGCTGGGCCCCACACGTCCATGTGGAGGGTCTGCAGGGGAGCAGTCGTCGGGGGAAACGAGGAGGAGTGAGGAGCGGCGCCCCTCGCCACAGGGAAGACAGGGAGGAGCAGGCGAGGGTGGGAGGGGAGGGAGAACCCTGGGAAGACCAGAGACAAGGTACCGGGAGTGCATGCCACGAAGGCGCTGCACTGACGGGTGACCAAGGCGGTGGTGCCAGAGGACGGTCTCGTGTGACAGGGAGCGACACGAGCAGGGGGCCGACAGCTGACCTGACGCAGACGCAGACGCAGCTACCTGAGGGGACTCAGTGGTCAGTGTGTACAGGTCCGACCCTGGCTGCCGAGTGAAGGTAGCCAGGTGGCGACCCGTCCGAGCACACGTTGCAGTGTGTCACGCGCTCGTAGGCAGGGGTGAACTGGTGGACACCCCCGTCCTGGAGCGCACGACCCGCCACCAAGTTCGTAGAGAACGAGGGGAGGTAGAGGCCTGACAGTGTGCCCGACGGGACCGCAGGACAAGGGAGGACAGTGGAGGAGGTCGCAATGACCGGACCCCAAGAGGGGTCAGCGAGGGAGACTGCAACCGGCCGAGCAAGCTGCTCAAGGGCAGTGCGGTCACGAAAGAAACAGCGGGAAGCACTTGAGTCCAGTGTGAAGGTGTGCAGTGCCTCAGTAGACGCAGTACCAGAGGGCGCAGACTCACGAGCACCTAGAGCAGCAGCCTCACCAGCACCTGGGGCAACAGACACACTAGCACCTAGAGCGGCAGCCTCACCAGCACCTGGGGCAGCAGACACACTAGCACCTAGTGCGGCAGCCTCACTGGTCCTAATGCCCGGGTCGGGCGGGACACGCAGGTAACAGTCACCCTCTCCACTACCAGACAACACATACATGGCACCAAGAATAGCATCAAAGTGAAGAGCATAGACATCAATGTTTTTCTTGATCAGATCAAACCAGCGGGGCAGCTCAGTGGCAGTAGGAAACTGAGTGCGCCAGGCGTCGTCGAGGCGGGAGAAGCAGCGCTTCTGCGTGTGCGCCCTCCCACACGTCTGACCAGTGCGGTCACCTGTGCGGATGACGTACGGGCAGCTAAGGCCACCCCCCCCACGCTGAGAGTACCACTCACGAAGCTCCTGGGGCGACGGGGTCTGCTGCTGGCGCTGGCCACCGCCAGAACCTCCACGACCTCCACCGCCGCCGCCGCCACCTCGACCACCACCGCCACCACCACCACCGCGTCCACTGCCGCCACCACCACCGCCCCCACCCCGGCCACCTCCTCCACCGCTGCCGCCACCACCCCCGCCGCTGCCGCCACCACCCCCGCCGCTGCCACTGGCCCCTCCAGCCCCGCCACCACCCCAACCGCCGCCACCGCCCCCACCACCGCCTCCCCCGTCGTCACCCGCCGCCCCCCTTGCCCCCTTTGCCCTTGCCGCTGCGGCGCGCCCCACTCGCAGTGGACGCAGTCCCGACCTTCTCAGCACCAAGAAGGTCGACAGTAGCAGCAGAGGCGACAGAGGGGAGAAGAGGGGAGGGGGAACACCCCTCAAAGAAAGGGGTGCAGGGGTCGCCGCGAGACGCACCGACAGCGACTATGCTAGTCTCAGCTGCCAGCAGGTGCTTCTCAAGCAGGTTAATGGTGAGCTCGGTGGGGCAGAGAGCAAGGAAGTGGTCCCTGACCGCACGAAGGGAGTCAGGGAGACGGGTGACCAGGTGGTAAAGAGTGAGCCACAGCGGGGGGGGGTTCTTGGCAAGAAACTCAGCGGGCATGGCAGCACGGAAGCGGGTCTCACTAGTGCGGAGGTGAGTAATGAGGTCAGCGACTGTGGAGAAGGCGGACAGGTCTGGGAACATATAGGGCAGTGAGAGGCGGCCTAGCGCAGTAGAGGCAGGCGAGGAGTAGCGCGCAACTACAGCAGTGTACAGTGCCTGAGCAGTCTTGTGCTGGCCAAAGTGCTCGCGCTCATCTACCGGCAGGGAGTTGCGAATGGCGAAGCGAGAGTGGGCGTCACGAGTCTGCCACTGTGAGCGGGCAGTACTGTCAGCAGTCGCAGCAAGAGCAGGAGCGAGTCCTAACGCATGATCATATAGCGAAATATCCTCCTTAGCAGTGAGCTGGAGGAACAGATGGAGGTCCTCGAGCCGGGTGTCAAAACGCAGCGGGCGGCCCTCAGCATCGAAAGCTAGAACTGCAGGACTAGCCATAGGTTCAGTAGGAGCAGTAGGAACAGCAGTAGTAGTATCAGCAGCAACAGCAGTAGCAGCAGCAGCAGTGAAACAGCACAGCGCGGCTCGGGCAGGGCGGCGTGGCGCGGCGCGGCTCGGGCAGGGCGGCGCGGCGCGGCTCGGGAAGGGCGGCGCGGTGCGGCTCGGCTCGGGTAGGGCGGCGCGGTGGCTTGCCTGTGCGCGGGTGTGGTGCTGCGCGGGAGCAGCAGGCTGCGCGTGCGGCTGCAGCGGCCTGCGCGCGGGCTGCTGCTGAGCGGCAGCAGCTGCTGTTGTGGCTGCGCGGGGCGGCTGCAGCTGCGGCTGCACGTGCGGCTGCGTGAGGCGGCTGTGCGCACGGCTGGGCGGGCTGCTGCGCGTGCGGGTGCGCGTGCGGTCGTGCGTGCAGCCTAGCGTGCGGCCGTGCGGGCGGCTTAGTGGGCGGCTGCGCGTGCGGCTGCGCGGGCGGCTGCGCGTGCGGCTGCGCGTGTGGCTGCTCGTGCGGTCGTGCGTGCGGCTGCGCGTGCGGCCTGACGTGCGGCTGCGCGTGCAGCTTAGCGAGCGGCTGCGCGTGCGGTGGACGGGCGGTGTGCGCGACTGTCCTAGGGCGCACGACGGCGCTAGAAGGGGCGCTCGACGGCGCTAGTAAGGGCGCTCGACGGCGCGGGTAGGGGCACACGACGGCGCGAGGCACTATCAGACAGGGTCGCGCAAGGGCGCGGCGGAACGGTGGGCCCTAACCAATGTCGGTCCTAGGTCCTGACCTAGGCGTCGGATACCATGTTAGAAACTAGAAGTGAACGAGAATGGAATGAACTAGGCAGCAGGGTGATACAAATAGGAAACCCTAGCAATGTTGTACTCTCTAAGGCTAAACCCACTATAGCCTACACAATATAAACATGTATGATGTTTGACATTTACTGGAGGAGTTTCACGACGTACCATATGCAGGACATTTCGGGAGCAACAAGACGTTAGCAGGGATAGCGAAGTATTACTACTGGCTCGGGATGGCAGTATTCGTCACCTCATGCGACACGTGCCAGCGGATGAAGAGCAGCAAGTAGAAAAAGCACGGTTACTTCAGCCTCTACCCGTACCGGAGCAGCCATGGCAAGTCGTTAGCCTCGACTTCATCATGGGACTTCCTTCAACCTCACGAGGGCATGACGCTATACTCGTTGTGATCGACAAGTTCTCCAAAATGGGTCACTTCATTCTGACCAACGCCACGGCTACAACTGAAGCAACTGCTCGCCTCTTCTTCGACCGCATCATCACCATCCACGGCATTCCCGCTACACTCATCTCAGACCGAGACCCAAAATTCACGAGTAAGTTCTGGAAGGAGCTCATGGGACTGCTGGGAACTAAACTTGTGATGTCTTCAGCATATCACCCCCCGAGTGAGGACAGTTGGGTTGCAAAAGCTGATATGGGCAACGCACGCCGTGCTCTCAAGGACTATCTTGTCAAGCAGGTTGTATCTCACGCTACCCGGCTTTGAGGGGGGGACGTGTGAGAGTACGACGGCTTATGCTGGCTTTGCTAGCCTGCCTAGACTTTATTATGCTACATCTAGCTTGGGTTTATTTTATCATGCATAGATATGCTTGATTTCCTAGGTTAGGTGCATTCCTATATTTTATTTAGTTATAGCACCGAACCAGGTTACGTGTACCGGACTCAAGCCTATCCGGTTTCCACCGAATTACATTCTACTGGGTTCGGGAAGGTTCTGTTTGGGGCGCTTCGCGACCCTCAGAACATTCGCGTAACCCCTGGGTAACTGGCCTTGTGTCGAGACTATATATAGCCTCGTGTTGTACCCAGGTGGATCATTAAATTACAACTCTCTTTTCTGAGCTCCATCCTAGATCCTCACATTCGCAACCACGGGCTGTTCTACATGTTGTTTTTGGGTCGCTTCTCCGTTCCTTTTAATTACCTCCAGAATGTTATAATGGTCAAATGTATTTTCCACTTTAAATTACCACTTAGCAAAATTGTCGCCCCAAACTTGTCAAGCCCAAACACCCTTGGTTCATCCTAAGAAGGCCGAAGAGTTGGCTGCACAGGAGCCATGGGGAGGTCACGGGGTTGGCTTTAAGCTTGGGCTTCTCCACTTCTCCCAGCACCTCTTCCACCCCTTTCTAGGTTCAACCATTGTTGAAAATGCTCCAAAGGCGCTCTGATACCACTTGGGATAGACATTTTAGGCTCAAATGTGACTTAAACAAAAGATAGAGTGCAAGAACAGATTCATGCAGAGCGGATTCAAACGTTGATAACGGCCTGATCACAACACCAAATGATGTGCTATGAATTGGATTTGGAGCAACGTTGCACATAATCAGCAATTTGAATCACTCGATTTGATAAAGAACTAACGATGTGAGAGTGATTTGAGCGAACAGAGATTCAGCAACAACTATGGTCGTAGGACAAGAAACAAAAGAAGGTCGAGTTGGACTGAATCCCAGCCTCTACAAACCCCAAGAGCTAAGGTTCAGAGAGGTGGAACAGTGTCACATAGTCCCCAATCCCTGATGGGTCTCTAAACTGCTCACCATACTCACCAAAAGAACTGTTATACCTCACAATGCAATCAAACTATCAAAATCACTTGAATTTTGAGAGCAAGGCTCAGGTTCTTCAATATAAAGTCTTCCTTGAGTTGTTGGAAGCTTGCTGCACACACCAGCGACGTGCCAAATGTTTGAGATAAGACAAAACAGTAAACGGAAAAGACATGCAAACGACGACGTGACATGCAATGAGTGAAAACTCGCTTTTTACTTGACATACATATTCGAAGTCATGACTCATCATTAACATACTCATATAAGCATGCAATAGATGTTATCTCATGCTCTCCTACCATTCGATGCAAAAATACACACATGCACAAGGACAACAAGTTGAGTGCAAACCATTGGGTGGCACTAACAGCCTCCTCTATTCAACGCAACTGGTCGATCATTAGCTTCGTTATACCCATGACCTCTCATCCCCTCCTCCTTCTACCCCGATCCAACGCATGCCTTTCTTAGAGATCAGCCAGCCACCAGCGGGACATCTTGTTCCGGCTCCGCACTCGCACTCTCCATTCTGATTCACACTTCCAGCTCACGGCAATAGGGGATTTGTCCCCTCTAACGTGCTTCTGTAACTAAGACACTGTTGCACGTCTTATTTGAGTGAGGCGTCACTGTTGATGCCATCTCTACTCGCACTTTGTCGCCGACCGCCATCTCGAACACTTCACCTCTGCTGAACTCATCCTCTTCCCTATACAGTCATGTTTGGGACAGTCTCCCAATGGAGCCTTCAAGTAGGATCAGCGGCTAGGGCCATGTGGGCGGCCCGCTGTGAACACAAGTTCAACAACTCACCATCCTTGCACTTCGAGATCCTTGAGCTCATGTTGGCCCACGTTTTTATCGCCTTCAAATTATTTATGTGGACAAGCCATCGTAACCCACTAAGAAGCAATGTCGAGCCCCCTTGTATACAAAAATGGGACAAAAAAAAATGCTTCCTCCTTTTTGACGGGAGCGACTGCCCTCCATCCATCCCGAACTTTGCTATTCATGGCTACTTGGGAACCCATATCAGCTCCTGTAGGAGGCTCTCAGCATAGATCTTCTCCTCGGGCTTTTGGTGGTTGTCCTTTTAGGTAGGGAAATAGCATGTGTTCTATGTGCTCCTTTAATCTGCTTATCTTTGTGGCTATGTTTCTAAATAGCCATGTGCCTTGCTTCGTACATGGATTTGTGTTGGGTGCAATACATGGTTTGCACGACAACCTACCGCCTATTCACCTGCGGTGAAGGTAAATGCAGTTTTATGGTTTGAAGGTAATTTGTTTTGTGCGAGCTGCGCTTTTCTGTGCTTTACGTTTGGGTGTTTACTGTTCGTGAATCGCCTCGACGGTTCATGAGTTATGTGCGTTTCTGTGAAGGTTTGAGTATGTGAGAGTTCATATGTGTTCGTGTGTGTTCGTGTTGTTTCTGTGAAGAAATGAGGAATGAATTGACTAAGGGAAAGTTGGGTACAAAAGCAAACCCTAGAAAACTGTACCCCATATGTGCTACCCCACTATAGCCTACAGTAGCTATGTCATATAAATCTGACACACCCCCATAGGCAAAGTGGGGGAGAACAAGGGGTCACAAGACCAGTCAAGCAAAGCAAAGCAAGCTCAGGGTGGATCACAAAGTCACCACACATTCCGAGCACAAGTTCAAGGCCACAAGGCCAGTTCACATGCAGGATTACATATATATATAAGGCTAGACAAGCAAGAGCAGGTGTATATATATATGCAACAGTACAAACAAGGTCAAGGGGTGAGCAAGTGAGGCAAGGTAGGCACAAGACCCAGCTGAGTACAGAAGCGCTGATGATCACAAGGCGCAAGTGCCTTGGTGAAGATATCAGCAGTGTTGGCCTCAGAGGCCACGTACGCAAGCCGCAGCTGACCACGCTGCTGTAGCTCACGAGCAAGGAAGTAGCGGAGAGCAATGTGCTTCGTTCTGTGCTCCAGTCTCTGCTCTCGACACAAGGCCAGCATGGCCTTGTTGTCTACGTACAGCACTGGAGGAGAACGAGGCGGCTCTCCGAGGTCAGTCAGCAGGTAGGTGAGCCAGCGAAGCTCCTGTGCAGCCATGGCCCCGGCGTAGATCTCAGCCTCACAACTGGATCCGAGAACAGAAGACGAGCGGGTAGCCCGCCACGAAACAGAGCCGGAACCAAGGCTGAAGGTGTAACCCTGTGACGACCGCTGCGTAGCCTGGTCGTCAGCCCAAGAAGCGTCTGCGTGCCCAGTGAGGACCACTGGACTCTGCCCTCCAAGCACAAGCCCCATGCCTGACGTACTGCACAAGTAGCGCAACACCCTCTTCGCTGCAGCCATGTGCTCCGGTCTGTGTCTCCCAGGAGCAACATAGCGTGCAAGAATGCTAAGAGGGTATGCAAGGTCAGGTCGTGTGCAGGTCATCAGGTACATGAGGCAGCCAACAAGCTCTGGGTACGGGCCACTCGACTCTACGGACTCATCCGAAGGCAGAGCCGAGAGTGAGTGGCGAGTAGGCAGAGGAGTGGCCTGAGGCGAGGAGTACGTGAAGCGGAAGCGCTGAAGGACCTGCTGCACCATGTGTGACTGAGTCAGGGTAATGGTGCGGCGTGCTCTGTCCCGGGTGATCTGCAAGCCAAGGTAGCTGCGCAGTTCACCCAGGTCTGTGCACGTGTGTCTCTTCTGCAGCTCGGACTTCACGTGGGCGAGTCCAGCAGTGTCAGCTGTGGCGAAGACC